TGAAGATTTGTAAATCTAATTATTTAGTTATTTAAGCACGTTGCTCGATCACGGAACCCTAATTAAGCGGAATTAGACCTACTGACCCGTTCTGATACCGTAATATGCTGGTCCTCTAAGGTCCTCTAAGGTCCTCTAAGGAGATTCCGTCCACCTATCCAAATGACAAAACCACTTGGTGTGTTTTGTGAAATTCAGCAGATTAGTGATTGCCTCTGTAAGACAATCTAAAAAGAAATTTCCGAGGATACGATAACGGAGCGCACTGACAGCTGGGCAGTAGCTGAGGTAATGCTGCCCCGATTTCTCCTCATCTATGCCGCTGCAGCTGCGGTAAACGACGTTTGCGAAGTAACACATTCTTCTATCACGAGTCCCCACAACACAGTGTCCGGTTATTACGTCGGTTGTTATGCTTAGCAGGAGAAAAGACTTACGTTTGTTTTCTTAGATCAATTGCACGTGGATTCCCTTTACCATCTGCTATTTGCCCTTTTGGTGAAGACTAGTCTCAACAAATACTTAGCCATGGAAAGAGGTCCTGCAATTTCCTTGGGTACCCAAACCGCAGATGTTTCGCATGTAGTCGAGAAAACCTAAAAATTTTGAGTTTCAAAGAAAGCAATTTATTTTGTTAACTAAGTAGTTACACGGCGACATTGATATAGTTCAGCGAATCAAAAAGCAGCGGCTACGCTGGCTAGGTCATGTGTTCCGTATGGATGCGGATACTCCTGCTTTGAAAGTCTTCTATGCAGTACCCGCCGGTGGAAGCAGAGAAAAAGGAAGACCTTTACCCCGTTGGAAAGACAAGGTAGAGAAAGACCTGGCTGTCGGTTATAATCTCGTAAGCGTTGTCTCCGCCTGTAAAGTAAGTAAGTAAGTAGTTTTTGATACAGAAGAGCGAGTTAGAAGAATCAATGCTGGCGGTAAGATCGTTACACAAAGATCTGATGGAGTCTTCCATTTCCAAGTTTGTTCTAAATGAACACAATAAATGGGGGCCAAAGTGTCTGGATGATCTTAGAGGGATGATTAAGTTTAGCTCGCTAAGTGGGAATGTGCTATTGATAACATCATTCTTATCACAAGAATTTATATCATTTCTAAAATCTACCTTAGAGTCCACTGTAGCACAAGTGACTTGTTCAACAGAGCCAAAATATTGGAAATTTAGTGGCATACAGTTCCCACCTTAGCATCTAAATAAATTATTTAGATCAGATTTCAAAAGATCTCTGTCTTCAGCAGAATGAACTGATTTAAAGCGCTTGGCAGGATCTGCGCACATGAGTATTTTAGAGTGAAGAACCACATTTGTAGGATCATTGAAGAATATGAGGAAGATAAGGCAGAGTAAGGGGTGGACGTGACTGTCTTGAGGAACACAAGATATTAATGATATTTTACTTGATGCACTCTTTGCAATACCAAGCTAAGTGAAGCCGGATCTACTAATTTTGTATTCATTTTTAATAAACAGAAAATGTTTGGGTGCCTAAAGTTTCTAGCGCAGTTGTTGGACATAAAAACGCTTTATTTTTATTTTATGATTAATTTTCCATTGTTGCTCTAACATTTCAATACAATTTTTGCAGATCGATTTATCAGCTGCTTTAATCACTTTCATCACTATCATCACTTTCCGCTATAACATCTTCTTCCAGCAAAATTTCATACCGTTAAGCATTTTATGAGTTCTAATCAGCCAGTATTCGCTGGAACCAGATCAGTTGAATATTATGATATATTAGATATGGAAGCAATTCGAAATTCTATTCGTATTGTTTTGTCATTTTCTCGATTTACTTGTGGCACGATGCGCTGACTGGATTAAATATTTATTTACTTTGTCATAAGGGGTCGTTAAGTGGAAGTAGGTCACATAACCTCATCAAGCTGAAAAGAAAGGAGATATCTACAGTATTAGGTCTTCTTAAAGGGGCATATTTTAAAAGTTGCAAATAAGCAGAAGATCCTGAAACCTTAGGGCACTTTCTATGAATGTAGGTTGAAGCCTTTGGAGGCAGCAACCTTTAGAGTCCTGAGCTAGATAGCGGCGGCTAAGATGCGGCGACTGGTCAGCTTTGCAAACTTCACCCATTAGTTTGATTAGCGTGTAGGGGGCATTAGGATCTTCAGTGGTATCACAATGGGCACGCTTTGGGCCTAGGCCTGCTGATGCCCAACAACCACTTCAACCGACGATGTGCTCGTTTCTCTGCAATGTCTTCTTTAGACGCTCCAATATTACAACATATTATTCACTGGTCTTGTTATTTTCCTCTTTAAAATAGTCAAACAATGTACATCCTGAAAAAACGAGGTCATAAAATTCCGAAACAGTTACTGTACATAACGATGATGATTGCATTGATTCCAATAGTGTGATGATGGATTCATGTTTTACTCATAGTCACATATCTATTACTGCGATTTATATTTACGTTTAAATATGTCCAAACACTGCTCAGAACCATCAACATATTCTTGGTTTAGCTCTTTTTTTGAGCGCCGCTTCAGTGCTTTCTCAGAATCATGTACAATCTCGGTTTTGTCTACATGTTTTGAAAATGCCGATCAAATAACGGAAACTGTCATGACTGAACGTAATGCGAGCACTGTTTCGATTGTACCGGAGCTAAGCAGTTTGGAACATACATGGGTACACACAAATAAGCTCTATACGAGTATTTGGATGCCACATGAGCTGACGAGAAAAAACCTCATGGATCATTTGTGGATCGCCGCTGGATCGTCACAAAATCCACCCATTTCTGATGACTAGTGATGAGAAATGGAACGATCGATGGCAACGCGCCGGCACAAATGGCTTCTAAACCGAAATTGACGAAGAGAAAGGTTCCCTTGTTTGTCTGGTGAGATTGACAAGGAACTATTCACAATAAACTGCTCCAAACTCTTAATTCGGACCAGCACGTCTTCAAATGGACTATCTGAAGGAAGCAGTCGCCCAGAAGCACCCAGTTTTGGCCAACAGGAAGGGAGTTGTGTTTCATCAGGGTAGCATCAGACCACACACATCGATGGTAAGTCACCAGAAGCTGTTCGAGCTTGCTTGGGAGGTTTATATGCAACCAACTTATAGTCTGGATCTCGTGTCAAGTAATTACCATCTACTTCTCTCTATGGCGAATGACTTGGTTGGTGAAGAATTGGCCTCAAGAGAAGTCTGTGAAAATCTATTGTCTTAATAGGGACAAGGGTTACTGTGAGAGAGGCATAATTACCTTTGAAGTCGCGAGAAGTTATCGGGCAAAACGATGTATATTTGATTAAAAACGATATATCTATACAGCATTGATAAATAAAGCCTTCAATTTAATGCAAAAATTATGGATTAATTTTTACTGGATCTTTTACGAAGTTGGTCTGTCTCTTTTCACTGCCTTAGTTTTTTTCTATAGGATCAATCTCATGATAGACTCGTTATATTTCAAGGAAAGGACTTCATAAAACCCCTTTCAATTCTTAGTATTATAACCTTCTTCTAATGTCAGCTGTTGTCTGTTTTTTCTTCAAAATTATAAAGGCAGTTCAGAAATTAAAATACATTTTTAAGGGGCACATCCTAGTGTGTAATTTCAAAAAAAATGTATCTTTTTTCTTATTTCCGTAGATTACACCTTTCAAACCAACATATCAAAATTTCAAATCGATATCTCGAACAGTTTTTGAGTTATAGCAATTAAAAGAGCAGCCGCTCGGCAGCTAGAGAGTCTCATTAGCTACGAGTGAAAACGATCATTTTTATTTTTAAACGCATTTTTCTCTAAACATCAACAACATCCGAACTTGCTGCAGTGATTACTCGAAAACAAATGATCCGATCACTATCGAATTTTTTTTACATGTTCTATATATAGTTCTCCGTACAATGAACTATCGATTTTTGAACTGATAAAAAAATCGAATTTCGGCAGGCCAAAAACGACCAAAATTTTGGGTAAAATTCGACTTTTTTTTTAACGCCGCCATATTTTCAATTTTTGATTTTTATTTTATCTAGAGAGAATTTTTTTTTTAGATTTCATCCACGGAGAAGGCCGGTATCACTGCAGCAGGGAAGGACATTTTTTTTCTCGCCGTTGGAGATCCACTATAACTTAAAAAATATTTAATTTTTTTTTTCTCCACAAATTTCACTGTATATTCTTGAAACATGTAAAAATATATTCCTAAAATTTTGAAATAATTGATGAAGTATTTTTTTTTTTATAAAAATTCCCAAGAATCACCTTTTTTTGGGCCATTACACTAGTTATGCCCCTTAAGGGTCAATATTCCAACCTAACTTATTTTGATTTATCTCGTTAAGACTTGGAAATTCACCACCTGGAACTGATGTCCTCATTAAACATAAATTTTCTCAATCAGCCTAAATTTGAGTCGCTTTTTCTTCGTATGCCAAGAGAAGAGTTCAGCCAAATCTAATTCGAAAGTTTACATCTGCTTAGCGTGAGCCAAGCTCAGTAATATCTATGTATGTATGTAAGGACATTATTAAATTAACAATTAAATATGTGAAAATACGTATCTAAGGATTTTGTAGCACGGACCTGCCATCTGCTAAAATTCATCCATTGAGCTGCAGAGAAAGGGCGGAGCGTAAGCGGCAACAATTACAAACTATTAACAAGCTTGCTGCGAAAAGAAAAGGAACATATGTATGCATTATGCATTTACACATATTGAACAAAATCTTTTCCATATTGGAGTACAATTGCAATAACAAATCACATATCAGTTTGTAATTTGTCAATTGGCGGCTGGCAAAGGGACTCTAAATGGCCTCTTAATGGTTGAGTGCCGTCGAGAGTAGTCAATAAACAACAACACTATAACTACCCTCAAATGGATATTTGTTGTGGTAGGAAGGCAGCGAGCCAGCGGAGAGCCCACAAAAGACTGAGAGTTTTGTCCCAACAATATGGCCGCACAGCCAATAGTCTTCACCAGCACAACAAGGGTGGATTCTCCCTTATGTCCATTGCTTGGCGTATAAAACAGGATCACTCAACGCTCATTCGCACAGTCACAAACTGAGAGTGATCGCGTACGGCTCGCACCATAAATATTATTTCAACGAATTTTAAATTATTTTCGTGCTTCAACGAAGACTGTCTTCTTATTTGAAACAAAATGTCGCGTTCTTTTCTAATGGATTCTCTATTGAGTGATGTTCCACTCTCCAAAAAGGAGAGCTTGGGTTCGCCAACTTCTTCACTGCCCACGGATTCACCAACATCGCCTGCCATGGACGCGGCAACAGCGGCGGCGGCTGCAGCTGCAGCAGCTATATTACCCAGTATACCAATGTTTCCATACCCAGCGAGCTATGTGGGCAGCTACCTCTTCTCACTGGGCATACAGCAACAGCAGCAGCAGCAACAGGAACAACACAGACAACACCAACAAGCAGCCGCAGCGGCTGCAGCAGTAGCAGCAGCAGCTTCATTCCATCGCCACAGTCAAAGTTCACAAGCTTCGTCGCCACATTCGCCGCTTCTGCATCCGTACGCGGCTTCATTGTTAACAAAGAAACGAAAATCTGCAGGATTCGATTACTATACCCCAGCACCACAACTGTCTTACAACACTCACTCATTACCGCACACCGACGCTTTCTGCACATCACCTACGGCCTCGTCTACGGGCTCCACAATTGAGTATGGCAGTCATGGTGAGGATATGCCGTCGGCAAAACGCTTCAGGCAGGACTCCGCTTCATGTTCACCGCTGAGTTCGCCCAACAAAGGTGTTCTTCCACCAGCGGTTGTGTTAAATTCTTGCTCGGCTAACCAATGTGCAGTTTCCACAACCTCCAGTGCATCCTACACTAACGCCAACAACTCCGTTACAACGTGTGGCCGTAGTCTTCAACTGGATATTACTCCTGTGATTACCGACTATGCGGACTCTAGTAAACGCATACGCACTGCTTTCACCAGCACCCAGTTGCTCGAGTTGGAGCGTGAATTCTCCCTAAATGCCTACTTGTCACGTTTGCGTCGCATTGAGATCGCCAATCGTTTGCGTCTCTCTGAGAAACAAGTGAAGATTTGGTTCCAAAATCGTCGTGTGAAACAAAAGAAGGGTTCGGAAAGTCCTACTTTCAACTTTAGCGCTGGTAGTATGAGCCCAACTTCGTCATCGGGCGATAGGCAACAGCAGAGCCCCAGCGCGTCACCGATCGGAAGCGGTCAGCAGTGTTGTTGTGCGAAGAATGTGAAGGCTGAACCCAAACGCGTCAATGACTCACCCATACGTTGTGGTCATCGGTCATGTGGAGTGGCGGAAATATAGCACGTAAACAAGGAGTTTTTAAGTACGAACAATTCCCGGTGTATATTGTAAATAGTTCGTTAGTTTTTAATAATGTTAAGATGATTTAATGTTAATTATTATTGTAAAAAAACATTTTAAATATTAAAAGAAGTTTTTTAAACTTAAATTCATTTTTTATTCATTTCATTTAATGTAATAAAGACTAGTCAAAATTGTTTGACCATGATTCATCAGATGATGTCATCATCTATTTCCATATAGCAGGACAAGACCGATGAGCGACTTGTAGAATTTGATCTAAGTTCTTCTTCTTTGGATCCCCATGCAGTCATTGTAATTTGTATTTATGCTGGTTCTCTTAAAGACGAAATTGTCTACCACCTCGAAGGTTTTACTGTCAGCAGTGATGAGGGAGTCGATTGGCCAAAGCGATTACAAGAGATATTTCGTCTTGCCCTCGTTCACTACCAGACAAATATACTCTGCTTCCTTATATAGTATATAGTAGGAGAAAGCAGAACTCACGGCGTGGTTTTTGAGACCAATGACATCAATACCATTGACATACGCCGACAGTTGAACACTCTTGATTGCACCTTCTCTATTCAGCTCTGCAGCGCGTATCCAGCAATAGATTAAAGAAATCACCTGACAATTTGTTTTCTTGTCTGAATCTCTTTTGGTAATGCAGATATAGCGACGTTGAGGCAGCTTTTTTTGGGCTGTTGAAAGCTACTTCAAAGAAGAGAAGGTATTGATCGATTCTATCGGGCATGGTAAATATCTGCTCAATGATGGTTTGACCAGATCTAAAGCCACACTGATAAGGTCCAATCAGTTTATTGTTGGACTTCAGTTTTTCACACAACACTCTTGATAGGACATTATAAGCGATATTGAGAAGGTCTATCCTACGGTGCACACCGTGAGGTTCTATATCGAGTAGAGTACAGTTAAGTTCCAATCGGCGGACTTGCTTTCGTCTGATTATATTCTGCAAAGAAACAGCTGCCAGTACTTTGCCGGCGCATTCGAATAGCTCGGCTGCTGCTTTGTAGTTTTTCACGCAAGCTATTTGGTCTTCTACGTAGTCGGGTAATAGGACTTCTATTAAATAGATTGAGAATTGGGTTTGTCATTTCTTTTTGTTACACCTGCACTGTCATTCAACAAGCTGGAAAAGTGCTCCCTCCTTAAATTCAGTATACTCTTTATCAGTCGCTAGATCACCTTTTTGGACCCTACAAATAAAATGATCCGGCCTGGAAATCTTCTGCATGCCGTCGTTACCATTCGCAGAACTTTTGAGCTTCTCCCCTGTCGACCAGCTATTCGAGCTCTTCATACTCCGGCTTTTCGGTCTCTATCTGTTGTTGTTGGCGTATGCGTCTCGCTTGTCTCCTCAACTCTCGACCGCAATGGTAGAGCTGTGAATAAAAAAACTCTTCATAGAGAAATTGACATGATTTCTTAAACTCTCTTCATGGCACAGTGATATGGATGCGTCCAGATATGTATAGTTTATGATATTGTGCACTAAGTTGTAGACATAACTAAGGAGACATATGGTCCACCCACGGTTTGTTAACTAAAAAATAATAGACAGATATCCACCTCGGAGGGAGGGAACAGACTGAACAAAACGCTTAGAAAGAATAGAAAGAGTAACTGAAAAAGAATTTCCTAGTATTTTTTGTTATGGCAATCTTAACTTGCATAGAATTAGAGAAATATAGAGTGATTTTAGGTTAGGCGGATCGCGAAATTCAATGCTGAAATGTGGAATAAAAGACAAAAGTATGCTAAAGCAGTTTAAGTAGCTTTAAGTGGAAAGGAAATATAAAGTCAAGCTCCCACACCCAGATCTGTAGTTTCATCATCAGTCTAAATTGTGTAACTCTCAAGATCATCAGTTTACAGAAGAAACCAGCTGAAGTGATTTTCGGCCGAGCTCCTCTTTCAATTTGTTATATGTGTCATGATGTTTTTCACACAAATAGATGGACCTAGAATTTATACTAAGCCACCTTCGAACGGTCGATGGATTTTTCTTTGCTTTTCATCTCAGAAATTCACTGACATTCCCTGCCGAAGAACGAGGGCAGTTAGAAAATTAAATTTTTTATAATTTTGGATATTGGTCGAACCAGGAAAGACTCGAACCCTGGTATTAAGAATGGTAGTACGCAACGCTAACCACTTGGAGGTAGCGAAACAAGAATAAGACAATATTTATATCGTCGATTATTGGTAGTATGAGTTAGCTAACCCCAAAAACGTTGGAATTATATTTCATATCAAGGTCAAACGTTGTTAAAGAGTACAGTCCATAAGACCTTGTAAATAGAGGTATGTAAGATGGGTAGTTGCAGCATGTGAGTGATTGTCTCACAGTACGCTGCATTGGAATCTTCTGCATTCAATGGCGTTGGCGAGTTTCAATGGCGGCTCTCATCTATGCTGTTCTACTGAAAATTTTTTTAATATTTATCTGAAAACACACATTTTCTGCTCAAATTAAGCTTCAGCCACTTTATGAAATTTTCATTACTTTTTCGCATAAATAAAAAACGAAAGCCATTTCGAAAAGCAAATGTAAAAGAAAATCGCTCTAATAATAAAATTCCAAGAGAAAGATAAAAGATGAGAAATTTTTATCATCTGATCGAGATTTCTTCAAAACTATTAAAAAAAAAATACTGTTCTAAATACACATTATAGTCGCAAGCGTATGGTAATTTCAAATGCTTGTCGGATTATGTCAGAATTCACCACACTGCTCTATTTATGCCTGGAAAATACTCTTTATTCATTTCCCATAGAATACACATATAACGTACATTTTATTACAATATATCTATGCATATGTACATATGTATGTATGTTTGTTTGATGCATAGTATTCTCTTGAAATGTGTGAAAATTTAATCTGACAAATTTTAGCATTCTTCTCAGCTCATTCAATTTCCGTTTGGTTCATCATCCACCAAAACTACTGATTTTTAGAAATTTGCTCATTTTTCGCTTAAACAGGATTAGGATTTACTCCATAATGTTGAATGGAAATTAGTAATTATACTTGTATGTAAATCTCATTACATTTCACTAATATACGGGTATATGTTTCAATTAACACATACATACAAACTCGTATGGGCAAAAGGTGCATACCTCATCAACCAGTAGTCGTCTCTGCGGCCGATGCTAAATAGAATTTTAAATAATTATTAAGTTATGGAACTAATACTTTGTGAATTCTTAGTTAGACTAAACTCCAATATTGTAAAATTATGGAATGTTTTCTCGATTTTCAACTCGCTGCCGTCCCTACGGTGGGTTCTGAGCACAGCTAACCAAATATTTAATACGGATCGATCTTTACCCTAGATAATATAGCTTCACTTGAAAGAAAAATCATTTAAAATTTATTTTTGTAGTCGAAAAAACAAGGCTTTGAAGACGGAAATAAAGCATGTGTATGTACTTTTAGTTTCCTGCTTCAATTGAGTCTTATGCGCATTGTCTTCATACACTTTATTTGGTTCTTTAAGGGGCACACCTAGTGTAATGGCCTAAAAAAAGGTGATTTTTGGGAAATTTTATTAAAAATAAATACTTTATCAATAATTTCAAAATTTTAAGAATATATTTATACATGTTTCAAGAATATACAGTGAAATTTTTGAAGAAAAAAATTTAATATTTTTTAAGTTATAGTCGATCTCCAACGGCGCGAAAAAAAGGTCATTCACTGCTGCAGTGATTCCAGCCTTCTCCGGGGATGAAATCTAAAAAAAGTTCTTCACTAGATAATATTATCTATACAATGCCCTACGATAAAAAAAAAATCAAAAATTGACAAAATGGCGGCATTTAAAAAAAATAGTCGAATTTCACCCAAAATTTTGGTCGTTTTTGGTCTGCCAAAACAAGATTTTTTGATCAGATTAAAAATCAATAGGTCATTGTACGGAGAACTATATATAGAACATGAAAAAAAAATCAATAAGAATCGGGTCATTTGTATTTCAGTAACCACTGCAGCAAATTCGGAAAATGATGCTTCGAGAAAAACGCGTTTAAAGATAAAAAGATCGTTTTCACTGGTAGCTAATGAAACTCTCTAGCTGCCGAGCGGCTGCTCTTCAAATTGCAATAACTCAAAAACTATTTGAGATATCGATTTAAAATTCTAATATGTTATTTTTAAAGGTGTAATCAACCGAAATATGAAAAGATTTTTTTTTTTGAAAATTCACACTAGGTGTGCCCCTTAAGTATATCAAAAGAACTTCATTAACTACGAAATCAGAGCGCTGTTGTTGGAAGCCCGGAGGTTTCAAAACCTAAGAAACACAAAATCAGGAGATTTGATTAAAGTCTGAGAGTCTTATACTTCCGCATAAGAAGAGATGATCTGACGTGTCTTAAAACACAATAGGCGGTTCATAATCGGTGATCCGATTTTCACCTACAATTTGTGTTGTGTGTCTTCATGTTATCAAACAAATAGAGGGAGCTGCAGCTTAACACCGTGGTGGAAAAATTAATTTAATTTAAATTAATTTTCTATATTTTTTTAATGTTAGTAGGACCAGGGCACGAGCACTGGCCTTCCGTATGGTAGTACGATGCCGAAGGATTTTAGCAAGAACTGAGTTTTCAAAGAAATTCTAATTAATGATTATTGCAAGTACCCATCAGAGCAGGCAAAACAAGCATTAAAGAAAATTATTTTTATAATTCTGAAAATATTTACAAGAGCTGAAGAGGAAAGCATGACACTTGGACAGCTGGTCGACAGGAGTAAGCTGGGAGATTATATTTCTCTTGCTATTTATTTCCAGCGGCGAAGAACGGGCAAGGTACATGCATCAGTATCAAGTGAAGTTGATGCATACACCTTATCAGTTCTCTATTTGAATAACTCTATCGGTAAGCCATCAGCTCCAGCCGCTTTATTGTTCTTTTATCGGGCAATTACCATTCCGAACTTTGCCATAGTCTGCTAATGGAACTCTTTTCCATCATCATCGAGTGGAGTTGAAGA